TGACTCATGACTTGGTGAGCAGACTTTCTATGACCCTCTGCTCACCGAGTCACGTGTGTCATTTGCATAAAATGACATCACAGAAGTGGTGGATTGGCCATTCCTTGACAAAATACAGTCCAATTTTCTTGTGTTGGAAATTGCAGTCGAAACCTGCTTCATAATGACTAACATCGGGGAACAACATACAGGCACATGCTTGTTTGTTTGCTTCAGCCTTTGTTTATTCACCAAATACTCAAATCTGCTATAGCTACCTAGCAGCTTTTCACTGAGGTCATGAAGGCTGGAGGTGTCACTTTCAATTTTACTTTCATAATCTTTCTTACACTATCACTTCCTCATATCATCTTACACTTTCACATATAGTCTCACCAGTGTCGTAGGTTTCACTTTTACTTTCACATATCCTCAAGATTACACTTTAACATATCGTCTCACCTCCTCGAGATGCCACCACTGTTTCTGCTCCATGACGTCCACACTAGTGAGTGTGGGAGTGGCAGACTTGGGGGTGGGAGGGGGGATGGGGGTGATCACCAGGGTGTGGTTCTCTCCAGAAGACGGAGAAGTCTCGAAGTTTGCGGTGCCCCACTTGACGGGCGACTCGAAGGTGGGAGTGTTGACCGTGTCTCCAGATCCACCCACGTCCAGGCTGACTGAGCCGCGCTGGGTGATCACTGTGCCTGTAGGGGTGGTGGTGATCGTCACTGCAGAAATAATAAATGAATTCAGCAGTTAGGAAGTGTGGATCACACTGAAAACTGATCAAAGACCATCAAAGACATGTTAGTACAGAAAGTTTGTGTTCATTCATGTAGCTCATGAGCTATCACTATAAGGTATGCTTTTGACACAACTTAGCTCATGCACTGCTTTGTAGCTGAGAACAGTACATGACTTAAACAATAAACCTTTACAAACATGTGCATTCATCAATAAATTTATGTTAAGAAGAACCTTACCTGTGCCATCCTTGGCTAGGTTGGAAGGCTGTAGGGTGGGAGGTTTGGACAGGGACCCACGGGGAACCTTTTTTGTGGGTGTGAGCGGTTCACTCGTGGAGTCTCGTTTTCTTCTCTTGTACGGCACAAACAGTCGCACAGGGCCAGACTGAAACGGTCATGGGTGAATACTTTCATTAGGTTGGTGAATGATTGAACAGAAGTAGTTCTTTCACAGCCACAAGAGACATTTTCACAACTGTCTGCACTGTACGATAAGGATAATCAAGTTTTTCAACACCACAGTCAAATGGTATAATGTTCTAATCATAAATCAAGTAAAACAACAAGCATGCAAAAGTTGAAAACCAAATTTTACAACTGTCCTTGGGGCAGCAAATTCTACTCTACGATACTTCTAGACAAAAACGAGTTTTTCAACACCTCAATCAAATGTTAAAATGTTCTTTAGACTCACGTCACTCACCACACTTTCATCATCACAGCAGGCTGCACAGGTACAGGACGTGGCGTGGGGGGTCAGGACGCCCTCCTCGATCAGGGTGTGCAGCGTTCGCCCGCCGTATCGGATACTCCGTTTCCAGTCCTTGCTGCTAGCGCGGCCGGATAAGGCTTCGAACTCGCTCGGTGTGTACCAGACATCACCCACTTTAATGCACTTGCCTCGGCCACCTAAATACATGGTGTAATTTTGTCATGTAGTGCTTGGCTCAGGCACAGTGCACATAGAATGCACACACAATGCTATACATTTCTTGTTGTCTAAGTTCTATAATATTTTTGCATCAAAATTTCAGCATCACGACTTTATATAAATAGGGGACAGGGAGCAACTTGTTAATTTGACTGTATTCTGCCCCTATCCTGAATACATCACACTTCTAGCTGCCCTTCCACTGGTCAGGATTCTACTAGTAGAAATAATAGTAGAAGCTTGATGTCCACATGTACCTCTCTAAGTCCAGAGAATTGGGAACAGGCAGGTGGGAGTTTTGATACTGTGTTTTGTAGAATTTGTAATGCGTTCTTTTGCCGGACAGGCTTGTACTACTACCTTCTCTGGGCGGCTGGTTGTAGGATGGCCGGCAAAAGAACGCGTTAAAATTTCTACCAAACCCAGTATCAAAACTCCCACCTGCCCGGAGGCCTGCACATGAGACCCACCTGATCCCAGCTTGGACTTGTACAGCTCCCCGCTGGTGTTGCGACATCTGACAGGTAAGACTGGGAGGTTGATGGTGTCGTCCCAGGTGTATCTGAAAAAGGAGCTGAAAGGTTTTATATGCTGGGACCCTCTGTTCCCAGAAAGAGCTGACATTGTCCGTGAAAAACATGAAAAATGGATAAATTCAATCATATTTTACAACTAGACTGAATTTATCCATTTTCCACCGTATATAAGGATTTATATACGGTATACAAGGATTTATATATCCACCGTATATAAGGATTTATATACGGTGGAAAATGGATAAATTCAGTTGTATTTCACAACTAGACAATCCCTACAATGTGCAGGTACAGTAAAGGTAAATACATTACAGAATCAGGGCTGCAAATACTCTATCTGCATATCTGCACCAGACAAATTTTACCTGCACCACTCAGAATTTAGGGAGTATATTATAGTGCATATATGCATATGGTATTTCGAGCCCTGATAGCTCTTACGTATGTACATATACTACTGTACATTCAGACCACTTCCCTAAGGCACTTCCTGGCTACAAGCTGCATTTATGCAAGCAATGATTTTATTGAGAAGCTTGTTTACTTCAAAACACATTCTACAAACATCAGGTAGTCAGTTATCACTATACACAGGGCTTGTGCATATGCACTTTTGTGCACCCAAAGCTGTAGCTAGCTATATCACACTGAACGACCTGTTACACGTATACACCCAATCTTTGCACATTAAATTGCAGGAGTTGTATAATAGAAAGCTTTCTAGTGATGATGCCCCAACTGTGCTTGGTGGCAACAAGTTCTGAATACTCTACGATAGCTCTTGGAAAATACAAGTTTTTGAACACCACAATTCTTGGTAGATAACTCTGATATTTGAAGGCATGACTGTTTCTTGTTCTTGGTGTATGTACCTTGGTCTGCCATCTGAAGGTGTAGCAGGGGTAGCTGGGGTGAGGGGTGTAGCGGGGGTTTTAAGCCCGGAGTCCAAACTGGAGTCTTGTACAACGATGAAGGTTGTCTTCTGTCCATCGTGCAAGGCTTCTGTGGTGAGGAGGGTGGGTGTCGTGCCATGGAATACTTGTGATATGGCCTGGAAAATGATGGAGAAAGCACATTACAACATATGCAAGCTTATCATAGAGGCTCAGCTGTGTTAGTAGTAATTTAAATTTTTTTTATAGTATGATGCTAGGTTCAGACCTGGACCTGATCCTCTGGTCCTGAACTTGGACCTTAACCGAACGTACCCATCCGTCAGTAAAATTTTGCCAGCACCACTCAGGCTTTAGAAAGTATGGATCAAAAACTGTTCAGAAACCATTGCCATCATAATTCGTAGGTGGTGATAGTCATATATATATAGTATTTATACAGCCCATGAAAGTGCATCACCATATATATAAACCCAAATTATACATGGACTGGTGCATGTTAGGTGCAGGTAGACCTCAAAAATACCTGCACAGCTCCAATTTTACCTGCACTAACCTGCATATACAGGTGGGATTTCCAGCCCTGCAACGTTATACTAGCACAGACCCTAGCCGCCCCCCTCCCCCATTGCACAAAAATGGCCCCGGCTGCTTCCGACGCCACCAGCCTGTACCGTTTGATCATGACGCTATGTCTCCTACCAGTCCAAAAAAATCGCCCAAACCCCGCCAAATCTGACAGAAAGCCTCCACAAAACGGCTCGGAATAACATTTTGTGTTCGTTTTCAGGTCAGGCGGCTAGCAGACGACAAAATTTCCGTCGGCAGTGGAGTTAGTCGCTTGTGTAGGCGAAGTAATCAGGAGTCTGGCGGGCGAATTTCTCCGCCTAGCTGCGCCATATTGTCATGAAAAAATGCAGAAGGTACTCGGGGGTACGGCAGACGCCAGCTTACCTGCTCTGAGACGGAGGTGACGGTGACTGGCGTGCAGGTAGTCGGGATCACGGTGGACACCGCCACGGGATGAGGGTCGCCCGCCTCGCTAAAGGCGGAATCGTCGCCGCTCGGGAGCTCCTCGGCCTCGGCAAGGCCGATCGGGCCCTGCTCGGCTAGCACGGAAACTTCCGCCGCGTCGCTCCCGCTCCCGCTCCCCTCTTTATTCTCCTCCATAGCCGGGAAAAACGCCGTCAGTGTCCTCGCCGTCGTATTTTCTGTCACTTTTCTGTAGATGCGGCGCAAGTTTGGTGGATTTTTCGTAAGAAAAGTGCGGCCCTTTCGGACTTCGGTATTTTTCGGTTGTTGTTGTTCGCCCTGTCTCGATCCGACATGTCTCTTCTCGTCAAATCTCGCGCGATCTCGCGAGACGGAAACGGCGGGAAATTCGCCTTTGGTAATTTTCAAGCAGATGTCTGGCGGAAAAATCGTTACGGTATAAATAGAACTGGCCAGCTAGAGAGTCCTCAGTTGCCCAGACGCTGGCTGGCAAATGGATACTGCCTGGCCAATTCGATACTGTCTTTGCAGCCACCGAAAGGTCTGCTTGGAGATTAGGCCTTTGGTACCCTCTACCAGGCTTCCAAAAGAGTCAGAATTTTGAGATCTTTTGATTGAATTTGAAACAAAAAGCTATTTTGAGCAGTCGAACTGTTCTTGTTTATTGGGTAGATTTATTCCTATACAATTGATTTTGAAACCCCTCTATTAGCTAAGTTACACAGTGCAACTTGTACTTTGTAAAAGTGTCAAGATTGCATTGGGTTCTTTTAAATCTAACATTTAATGTAACATTAATTACATATAGACTTCCAAAAAAATTGGCTGGGCATTCCCCAACATTCAACAAATAGACATTAAAAAGGTTGAAACCATAAACTTCATATCATATCACATACTTATACAACAGTTATAAGTACAATTAATCATTATCATAATGTCATCATTCTCAAAGCTTTGTCCATCCAATTTTTTATGTGTTTGTCGGCAATTTTTATTTGGCTTTCTTTGCAGTACTGGTATCCAATCAGATCTTTATTCAGCAGTATCCTGTATGTGAGCCTAATTAAAGGAAGATAGCCATTATACATGTGAATTTTCTGCATATTTTTCTACACAAGATAAAGTTTTCATGCTTGTTGCGGATCCCCTGGCCACCAGTGGGGTGTCTCTGCCTTTATCCCAATCTCTTCACCACTGTCTTGTTTACAGTGCAGCTTTTCTTGGCTGGAGAGGCAAAAAAAACAGTATCTTTAAACTGTGCTTCACAATATATAATTTTTACTTCGAAAAGTGTTTTTCAGTTCAGTTTATCCTTGTAAGAACCACAGGAAAGAGTTGCGGCATCTTTTAACTGTAATAATCATATTTACATCTACTGTAAACTTATTTATTTTGCAAGAATTCAACTTATTAAATGTTGGAATTATGGAAATAAGGTTTATGCAGTTTTTTTTTACCTATGAGCCAGTCTGACTAGTGCTAGCCCATGGACCCCTTGTGCATGTCTGAACTTGCCGACGTTCTTTCCCTTCTCATTGCTCAGAGTAGACCCCGCCTCCAAACTGGACGGTCTGAAAAACAAGGTTTTAGACATGTCATAAAGTTCATCTGTGTTGGTACATAACGTACATGTTTAAAGTTAAAACTTTTGCTCCAACACAAAGGACGATTGTTCTCACTGCTTTTGAGCAGTTGTCTACCAGATACCATTGTCCCTAGCCTGAGTGTCAGCCAACGGATCTTGGGGAGCGGACGAAAGCTAACAAGGCTGACACCCAGGCAACATTGTCCCAGTGTTGATTGTTGAAGTCACATTTCAGAGAAGCCACGTGACAAACCTTACTGGGTCAGTCTACTGAGGAAGACCAGAGTGACTGGTCGAAAGCTCTAGTAGGTGAGATTCTTTTGTGTTGGAGCAAAAGTTTTTACATTTAATAAAATGAGTTACCCAAAATTTTGGCTGTTCAGGTTGGGTATCAAGAAGTTTACCTGTCTAAGGTGACTGGCATAAGTCTTTTCCTGATGACACCAGTGTGGTGAGTTCTAGCAGTCAGTTCCTGGCCTATGTAGCAGCCTTTGTCAAAACTCACTGGAAAGATACACAAATGTAGCAATGTGAGTATAGAACGATATTTTCAGAGAAAATGTTCTACCTGCCTATGATATCTAACCTTCGTCACTGATTACAAAACACAAGTTGCATGAGAGTAAGGATGTATTATGAGTGTTTTGAACTCAAGATAATCTGTATTTGTGTAATCCTTGTGTTGGAATAAAGCTCAATATTTTGTTATGATTACTGCCAACACAGATGAACTTTCATGATAATCTGTCTACTTATTTTACTATGGCCTTAGGAAGAAATTTGAAACTATCACCTCCATTCAGGTAGGCCAGGTTGGACTCCAGAGGTGTGCAGTTTCCAGGTGGCAGGTCGTTAACCCCTTCCCCCACTCCCAGTCTGTATCTGTGTGTGTGATAGTCCTGCTGGGTTCCCTCAGTACAGTCAAACACAACTGTACAGGGACAGAGATTTTTATCATGTTTACCAAAGGGAAAACATATTGTTTCTTCCCTGTTTCCTCTTCTTCTTCTCCAAACCAATAAGGTCAATGACCTGATGCAGACGTCTGTCACCATGGTAACTAGTGTTGGGTTACATCATGTTGCAATTTTATAGCCGGAGGGATTTAGACTCCTGTCTGACCATATATGTGAATGTGTTTGAGTAAGAATTAACAGAGCAGACCATATGGATATGCAATGGTAAACATTATGCATTTGCTTTGCAAATGTTACCTTTCAAGTTTATGTTATTTTCTGTCATATTTACCCAGGGTTGCCCACTCAGTGATAACACTGTTTTTCAGTGAGACCCTGTATAAATGTCAGTTATACCAGGGTTCTAACTGGCACCTGTTTTCCTGTCAATTGCAGGAACTTTGTGACTTGTGACGAAAACCAATCTGCCAACCTTGGCGGACAAAATTTACAACAACCTTGGGTAAAATATGAAAAATGTTTCTCCATACTCACGATTGGTCCCGCTCTTTAGCACGACCCTGTTCCCAAGGTCAGACAGGCGTGGGTCGGTGACTGATATTCCTGTGTCCGACACGAACGCAGGAGGGTCGCAGGTTCCCGGGAGCAGCGCCCAGACCGTGTACTCATCCGCCACACTGCTGATGTCAACCTGAAGAAAGACTCTCAATATTACATGTAGTCCTTTATGAACTACAGGATGCAGTCGCATGCTAGGACGGAGATGCGCAGATTATATCAAGCGATTCAAGGGCATAGCAAATAAAAAAACTATCTAAGATAAGAGAATGTTCCTGTGTGGAATACTTTACCAGTTCAACCTGTAGTAGTGACCAGATCTACGTATCTACCACTTTCTTATTCTTACTAGATCATTTTTCCCACTGACACAAGCATTAGAACCTGTCTATAGTGAATACATGTCAACATAGACCAAATTTTACCCCCTGAATAGTCCTCCTGGGTAGTTTTGACTGCACCTACCTTTTTCCTGATCTTGTACATCTTGAGAAGTTTGGTGAGTTCCGTCACCACGTTGTGATCACACTCCAACAACAGACTGGGCGGGGAGGCAGGGTTACTCTGGAGGTTGTACATCAGGATATCATACAGCACTCTGCCCTGGGGAACATAGGAAATATCATGTTATCATGGATCAAAAGGTCTGGGGTTCGAATCCCATCAGATCGGGCACTCTACTAGTCTAAAATTTCCCTTGTTCTTTTCAACGAGTACAGTGAATCAAAGCATATCATCCTGTCCTATCATTATAAAGGACTGTGACCCTTAACTGTAGTGAGCATGTTGGATGAGTGACAACAGCCGGGCTTTGAACTCCCAACCTCTTGTTCGGCAGGATCGCTAAACTGAACATACTACAAACATTGGATGATGTACCTAGAATCAAGGATATAGTTGAGTGTTGCAATACTTTGTTTTGTTTCTGTTAGAAATAAAAAAAAGGTCAGAAAACAATAAGCAAAATGCAAGAAAAGTTACCAACCTGTACGTTAAGTATCATGGTGTACAGAGCCCTGTTCTCTATAGTCAGACTGGTGACGTCATTTGTGATCAGACCTTGCAAGAACGGTAACGTATCCGAACCTGCAACTCTCACAAGGCTACGTTCTTCCAGTCGTACACATTTTGCTTTTACGTCATCCTTTGTGTCTGTTGCCGTGTTGGACAAAGTTCTGGTTGGAAAGTTTGGATATCGTATGATGCTGGAAGGTTGTAGGTTGCAGATTTTAGAGAGAAGTTTCTGGGAATGTCTCACACACACTCCCAGTCTTCCAGCCATGGTGGGTGTCTGTGGAGCAAAAAAAAGTTATTTTTTTTTTCATTGTGAAGTTCATATCATCTTATCTTACGTTACGTAATGTTATGTTCTATGTTATGTAATCTTTGCTGTTTATCACAAAGCCTTGTCAGTGAATTTCGAAGAGATCTACAAATGTAACATTAGAAATCATCTGCGAATATCAAGTTTTAAAGTTGATATCGGCTTTATTCTAGTTGCTAACATGTCAACTATCTGAATAAAAACGTATACGTAACGTTAGAGCTAGATGCAAGTAACATTACATGTAACCCCCCTCCCCCAATTGGCAAACAGCTTCATAAGTTCAGTTTAAAATGCGTAACAGCTCATGACAACACATTCTACATATTATTCACTTGTTCATAGCAACATCAAATTCACCTGTACTGAAATATCTTGCTGGGTAGAGTCTTGTTTTGCTTAAAAGTAATCACACAGTGGCAGACGATTTTTTTCTTACAAGGGCGCGGCCATTTTGATGATGATGATGATCCACCCTGCAGTTGTGCACTGCTCAGCGCTGCCCTCTACCGGAAATCAGCAGAAGTGCAAAGTGTTTTGACACCATTGCGTATGGAAATCTTTTGAAACGTTATATCTAAATGTCCCAACTTATTTGGTCTTTAGAAGCAATGAAAGAAACCAGTAATTAAAATTAACAAAAGGAAAACGACTAAGACTAAATTAAGGAGGAGGTCTTAATGTTATGGACTTAGGACTTAACGTTAGTGTTATGTTACAGAAAATTACACAAATAACATCAAAATATGGTGAGAAGTAAAACTTTATTTTGTCCACAATGAAAGACGTCGTGATGTAAGAATTTCTCAATAAGACAATGATTCTGTTTCTGTGTTTAGCAGCTTTACAATCATATAATCTTTCGGAATAACACAGTTATATATGAAAGATCACTCTATATTGTGACACTTCATATTGTAACATAATAGATTATAATTCTCATACCTCATGATTTACATAATTATTGAAAAATATCCTATTTCCAGACATTCAGTCCAACATGAAAAGAATCCAGGCAAATACAGTTTCCAGAAGTGGCCTTTTGGCTGTCTATTGAGCAAGCTGATTAAAAATTACTGAAATAGTTACCATGACATCATTTTATGATAGCAAACATTAATCAAATAAGAGAGATACTTAGTAGCTCATTTTGTACATTTCACTGACAGAAAGCACATATTATTTTCAATTGTCAAGCTTGTATACTGTTTGTAAAAGACTGGATGGTTGTTGTCCCTGCACTGAGCTCTGTCCTTGGTACTGAAAACACAGTCTCTCAGCAGACAGCTTAGAATTCTCCATTGAAGGGATAGAGTGGGTGACCTTTACACCTGAAAAAGAGGAAGAAAAGACAAAAACATGACATTTTGCTTCTGAGATATCCGTGTAACATATAGTAGCACAATTATAGTACAATGTAGTACAATGTCTTAAATCCAGAGAACTTAGTATGAATTGTAGAGGATCCTCACACTGGATGTGGAGAGTCCAAACCCCCGTGGCCGCCCTAGAAGGAAATGGTACGACGTTACATACGGGAGGACCTCCACCACCTGAACTTAGATAAAATCAACCCACAGGACAGAGACAAGTGGCGTGCTGCCATCAAGCCCCAGAAGTATTGTGAAAGCACGTCTAACCCTCGGAAGACGGGGAACAACAGACGATAAACTGGACAGTGAGTGTGTGTGTGTGTGTGTGTTGTTAAATTCAGATCTAACACTTCTGTTATGCATATTTAAAGTCATGGTGTCAAGAAACCCCACACAATTCAGCCTATGGCTGCCATGTGGGATTTGCTGTTCAAGGAATTTAAAGAAACCATTATCATTATGATAGCAAATGTGTATCATGTTGCTAACTGAAATGTTACTTACGCTGGGAAAAAAAGCAGTCGTCCATTCCTGTCTAGCTTGTAGATAGCGGACATTTCATCTTCACTCAACTCAAAGTCAAACAGCTGTGAAAGGCAGAACAATAGATTCTTGGGTATCATGTTGCTAAGTGGAATGTTACTTACGCTAGAAAAGGGACCAGACGGGCGTTCCTGTCTAGGTTGTTGATGGCTGACATCTCATCTTCACTCAGCTCAAAGTCAAAGAGCTGTAAAAAGGCAGAATAAGAAATTTTGGGGACATTCAATGCACTTATGACATTATATATCTATTTAAAGTTATAACATGAGACTGTAAGGTTTGCTGCACACACAGCAAAGATGGATAAAACCCAGAACTTTCAGATTCTAAGTAAAGAGAACCCAATGACAGCTTTTACACCTGCCACAGCTCACCTGAGAATTCTCTTGGATCCGTGCAGGTGTGACGCTCTTCGGGATCACAACCACGTTCCTCTGTATCTGCCACTTAATGCACACCTGTGAGAAGGATTGATTGAATGAATGAATGTTTGAATTAATGAAGGAAGAATGAAGGAATGAGAGAATAAAATACTAGTAACTGATAGGGGGAAAAATACTATGAAAGAATGAATCACTAAGTGAATGAAGGAATAAATGAGTGAATAAAATACTAGTAAGTGATAAATTATATAAGAGGACAAACTAATGAATGAAGAATGAATGATTGGATGACTGAGTGATTCTTTAAGATCAAATGATATTTAATAAGTCACCTGAGCCGTTGTCTTCCCATGTTTCTGACTGATCTCCACTATTGCTGGGTCTTGCAGCAGGGAGTCCACTCCAAAATCTTTTGCCTCCTGGGATCTGAAAACACATTCAAAGAATATGTGGGCTAACTAATATAGTATGCCTTTGTGACATACAAGATCATTCTCTCTCTCTAAATTATCCAACTCAGAACCAAGAGGTCCCGGGTTCCAACCTTGCCTTGCCACTGATCTTGTGTCCTTAGGAAAGGCACTTTACACGACTTTCTTGACTTCACTCAGGTGGAAATTAGTACTGCATTGTCCTCTGTGTTGGTGGCGGCATAAAATTAAGTTGAAAAAGCCTGAGTGTGCCGTCACCACATGATTAAATTTTTGGAATCAAAATTTAAAAAAAAAGTCTTACCCTGGCCTTGCTAATGGACAGTAGGCTGTCATCACGACATCTTTAGCTGTGCAGCATTCCAGTAACCGATGGCAACCAAGATACGGGTGACTCTCCACCTAAAGGCATGCAACAAACAACCATTAGTGTGTAAAAAATAGACTCTTAATCCAACATGGTTAAAAAGAGACTTGCTCTTAAAGCTCTATTTTTCTGTTTTATGCTGTACTTTCAATTCAGCATTACTTTTCCTGATAAATTGATGTTTACAAATACACAGGTAAAATTCTGAGGGGATCTATGGGGCCTTACTTGATTGACAGCTGGTTTGATTCTCCCATTGGTCAGAACCTCCTCCATCTGTGAGATGTTGAAGTTGGACACACCAATGGCCTTCACCAGGCCTGCATCCACCAGATTCTCCATCGCCTGAAAATTGGTAAAAAATTCATTATAGCCTTATATGTCATACATGTATAATTACAACATTATTGATTCATAATCAAGGATCTGTGATCAATACTCAATTTAATCAATGATCATCTAATCATCAGGTCATTCTTGATTTACCGATTCATGAATATTGATCAATGATTTATCAATCTTTATTGAGTATCAAAGCGTCATATAACCTTCCAAGTTTCCATGAAGTGGATGTCCATCATGGCCGCCTTTCCCTTGCCATCTGACGGGAAAAAGTTGTCTCCTCTCTGTAAACAAAAACAACATGTAAACAACAACATGTTAAGTAAACAATATTGAGGTTGTGAATTCCTTGATCAGACTAAGATTGAATATTTATGTTTATCTTTGCAGAAGGAAAACATATTGTTTTTGCTCAGTTTCTTCCTTTTCTTCCATTCCAAACAAATAAGGTCAATGACCAGGACCAGATGTCTGTCACCATAGTATCTGTTGTTGGGTTACATAATGTTGCAAGTGCCATGCAGAACTGAGTTCAAGAGGGGCTCTGAGTGGATTGGTCACCATACATATGAATGTGTTTGTCTAAAGAATAAACAAAGCAGTACAAAATATAGCTTGTTAAGTTGGGCCATGTGAAGGTAAACATGCTTTGTTACGGTTCTAGTCTCTAGTGATATGTTATGGATCATAGAATGTTAATTTAGAAAAGTATGTGAACCTACAGCCCTGGCTGCAGGAAAGTGCATGAGGTACAGGTCCAGATAGTCTAGTCCCAGGTCGGTTAGGCTCCTCTGACAGGCTGGGAGCACGTCATCTGGGTGGTGTCGAGTGCTCCACAACTGAAAACCAAAAAGAAAAATTATTTATGATATTGCCCTGATCATGAGCCCACAAATACCAATATCATGTACTGTCTAACCAAGATAAAATTGGCATAGTGTGTCTGCATGTAAACGGAAGTGGAAAAGTAACTCGAGAAGTGCATCAAAATAATATTTGGTACGTCGGTTAGATATTGGCAAAATGAACAAACGATCAGATTATTGTCCCCCTAGCAGCTTTCAAAGGTACTGCAGCAGGACTTCAGGTTTTGATATCATGCATTCTGGACATGTTAGGATCACGATTTTTCACACCTTGGATGTTATAAACAGTTCCTCCCTTTTTAACCCAGTGGCAAAGTTCTCCTTCAGAGCTTTTCCGATCTCCTTCTCGTTCTGATAAAGTTCTGCAGTGTCGATGTGGCGATAGCCCAAGCCAAGGGCTGTCTTTACTGCTTGGTAGCAATCATTCTCTCGAGCCTGAAAAATTTCACATAAAATATCAGGTTTCACCCTTAGATATACAATATGCATAAGGATCCAGTGTCCCTATGTTTCAATTCCCCTACATTCCAAATCCAACACCAAGTCCTTAACATTTGTATACTAGTATTCTCACACCCAAACTATGTTCCAACACCCCTATGTTAAATTGACACCCTATATTCTGACACACCTACAATGTATGTTACATTGACATCTCTATGTATACCAGTATATGAAATATGCTCGATACAACATGATAAGAAAGCTTACCTTCCATGTGCCCAGACCTAACAGTGGCATGGATGCCCCAGTACACAGTCTCACAACAGGCCAGCTCATGTCTGCAATTTCTCACTGAGTCACTGTGTCTTCTCAACTTTAATTACCTAGAAATAGAATTAGCAAACACATATTAGTTAATTAGTTACGTATAATTTAGTTAATCAATATTACTTAATTATGGGAGAGGCCCTTGACAAGCTATTTAGAGCAATAAAGTGCTTCAAAATATCTACTCAAAAGGAGAACACAGAAAATAAAGTTTTCGTAGACATCCCCTCAAAACTTTTCAGATGGACCAGTCCATCGACCCCGCCCACTTTTGGCACACTAGTAAGGACAGGATTAGGGTCACTTGCGGGTCAAACACACGTTTCGTCTGTTTTTTTTTCAGAGCACAGCACACATGCTCTAGGCTATATAAAGTGTGGTTAAACTTACCAGCTACGTTTTGGACGTAGCGGAGGCCTAGAACCACCCTAGCCTTGGTACTAAAGTGCCCTTAAATGCCGAAATCTCGTAAACCTTATGTCAAAGCTTCCGCGTCTGACGAAGCGTTCCTCAGTACTAGAGGACGAAGCACGCAGTATCCATCCGCATCCCGCAAGTACCGAGGCAATTTGCTCGGGTCGCAAAATAGTGCGTTCAAAAAGGAAAGAAAATCGCCTAATATATGACATGTAGAACCTAAATAGTATTTATTTTTAATTTAAGTAGAGGTGACTGAAAAACGTTTGAAACGACTGAAAACACCCGTGCGACATTCAGCGTTGACCCGTAGTCCATCTAGGGTCAAGGCCACCTGTTACAAAGCGTTGTAGCCTGTGTTTACACAAGCTCTTGCTGCCAGGGCTATATTGACTCCCTCTACGTGGCAGCTGATAAATTTAAGTCAGAAACGCTCAAGTGCTAACCAAAATTGATCTCAACAGATTTTGGGGCACTTCGGAACGTATAAAATGAGAACAATCACAAGAAAACCATAGAATCATAAGATATCATAATTGAGAATAACTTGAGTATTGTAACTAAGAGAATCATAATATATTCTAACTTGTCCAATATAAGAGGCCATATTTAATAATTATACATATGCGTGTCCGACCCTCTAGATCGTCCTGCCTGACATCTGCTTGGAGATGACGTCAAAGGTTCGAAAAAGAGGTCAACAGAACAACAAACAAAATGGCGGAGGCAGAGCTGAAAGTTCAGGAGGTGTTTGCGGGGAAGGGGGGACCTCCGTTCCTGACAGGGCTCCGGAGGATGTTTTACCTCGTCACTCCCAACGAAACGTCTTTCCAAACGTTGGAGGAGGTTCCGAAATACGTGCAGCAGGTTTTTGCTCTTTTATTTTCTCCCTTTTCTCAATATACATATACGTAACTTTACACTTTGATGAACTTTGACCAACTGTTATGCATGTATAGACCACATATAACTTTATAACCTAATGATTTGACCAATATACTCACTTACCTAGCTGTAAGTTAGTAGTTAGCAGTCATTAGCAACCTTATCCCTTGGCTAATTTTGTTGTACTACTTATAATCATAAGATCATAGATACCTTACGAAAGTCGCTGACAGTACTTTGCCCTGTGTAAATTTTTGTATTAGGGTAAACACAAGCGATGTGCAATGTGTGTGTGTGTGTGTGTGTTTGTGTGTGTGTGTGTGTGTGTGTTTGTGTGTGTGTGTGTGTGTGTGCGTGCGTGCGTGCGTGTGTGTGCGTGCGTGCGTGCGTGCGTGCGCGTGCGTGCGTGCGTGCGTGATGTACACAAATGCATGTGTGCATGCGCAAGTGTTCTATGATAAGATTATTTACAGATTTATCAGAAATTGAACTCATTACAAACAAAATCTTCCCAGGCTGCCCCGTGTTTTTTCGGTATGATCCTGCTGGAGTTGTTGGTTGCTTCCCTGAAGAACAGACGCTCCCCCACCCGCCTGAACGACTCCATCAGCTCCATGTCTGCAGGAATGATGTCAGAAATGACAAAGTAAGTCACTAGTGAAGGTTAGATATTCAAACATTGACACTCATACTAGTCATAGACGATTCCAGTGTTAGAGGTACATGTATCTACTTGCAGTCTGCATTTTGCAAAGGCCTTGAAATATTGCAAAGACAATTAAGAAGAATTACGCAACCTGCTATGTTGCAAGTTGTTTTCAAATCAGGCTAGGGGTTTCTATATGTGTCACCACAATATTGTTAAAGAGATTATGTGTTTGACTACTAGTATATATCAATGGCCAGGTGGTCCTTATGTAGAGGTGGTCACTTGTACACGTTTTGCTGTATATTATGTGACATGCAGTAGCCCTTATAGTTTTACAGATTTGACTGTACACTGAGTAACTCTAATTACACTCCGTTTGTCCACCATACAGCTTGGCATTTTCCATGGGTATCTACATGACTGCGTATGTGTGGGTACATGAGAACTACCGGCTGGTGGATCTACCCTGGGACTCCCCCCTCACATGGTGGGCAGCCTTCATAGGGGTAGAGTTCTCCTACTACTGGCTGCACAGGATGTCACATGGTAGGGAAACTATTTTTTGGCTACACCTCAGGGGCGCAATAGCTCAATCAGGTAGAGTGCTCGCTTTGTAACTGGGAGGTTGTGAGTTCAAACCCCAGCCAAGTCATATCAAAGACTTCAAAAATGGTACATATTCTAGCACTCAGCATCATATATAGTATGAGAAAGAGTGTGGGAAGGTCAAACACACAGCACTACCAGCGGGCTAGCTCCCTGCTGTAGTGATTGCACAACTGTGTGGCTCACCCCTATGCTCTGCACAGTTTTGAATGGGAACTGTTTCACTGGGGGGCAGCCAAAATGATTTGGTAGATTCATAGAAATACAGTCAAAGATGTATGTAAGATTAACAAACATCACATACAGTATTCTCATTCTAATGTTATACAGAAGCAAACATCCTGTGGGCGTCACACCAGGTCCATCACAGCTCAGAAGACTACAACCTCACCACGGCTCTGAGACAGTCTTCTACTCAGAAACTTGGAACATTCTTTGTAAGTATCAAAAAACATGATGGCAAGGGGTCTTGTGGTAAGGACTGTTGACTTCAAACCTAAGGGTTCTGGGTTCAAATCCCTGGCAGGCCTCAATGTTATGCCCTTAGAAAATTAAAGAAAGTTAACACCTAGTTTCTCACTCAACTTAAGTGAAATCGGGTACCTGTACCTTTGATTAGGGATGTCTTCTCAGACAAGACTAAATACTGTTGCCGCTAGAAGTACGAAGTGACTTGGGACCAGTTAGATTTCTTGCCTTTGCAGTATGTTAGGAGAATGTCCAAATGTTGCTTTTCTCTCTTAATAGGTGGTAGATTGCAAAAGGCTTTATAGAGAGTGAATCTTAGCTAGAATAGGACAGATACAAAGCTTAGTATCCATAATAATAAATAATAGTTGGAATGAATGACTTTAGATCCGTAGTTTCTATACTTTGCTAGACTGGTTGGTACCCGTAGATGATATCAACATTAACCATGTATTTATTTTTTTTATCTCAGTTGTTCCAGCTCCCGATGGCTTTGTTGGTTCCTCCGGCTGCATTCTGGGTTCACAGAGAGTTTAACCTGTTATATCAGTTCTGGATTCACACTGAGGTACTAATATTGGAACTACTAATACGTTTTTATTCTAGTGATTTACATGTGAAAATGTCTCTCACTGTCACAACACAATTCAGCCATTCTAGCTGCTATGTTTGCAACACAGTTGACATAAACCATTTATATGTATACTGTAAATTTATTTTGCTTTCACTATAGCTTTGTTTTGCTGCTGTGGAAGGAAATTGAGTTTTTCTCAATGTTTTAAATTTGTAGGTTTGACTTCTTTTCTTGAAAGACAACTTACAGTGAAAGGCAAAAAATACCGCTTTTCTGCAATGTGTGGATTCTGTGCTGTAAAAGGAGAGTAGTGTTCTTCTTGTCTGTAAACATGAATGGAATATTAACTTGGTGGCTTCGTTCTTCCATAATCGCAGAAGAGATAGTTTGCAGCTTTAAGAAATTTTGTCTTCCACTGTATTTGGCCTGCAGAATGGAATTTGGTGGCTTCATTTTTTTTATATCATGGAAGGGGCAGTTTGAAGTTTTAAAAAATGTCGTCTTCCCCTGTATTTAACCTACAGTATTTATTTGCCACCTGTACAGCTTGTGACGTCCCTAGGACCCTTGGAGTATGTCCTGAACACCCCCAGTCACCACAGGGTTCACCATGGTCAGTTGTCTTGTCATGTACTGTAGTGTTGTACAGTTTGTTTTGTGTTAACTAAGAAAGAGCAAGAAAGGTTGTACTGGATCTCTATTGATTATAGTCTTTCTTGGTAAATCCGCTGCCTCTTTAACTGTATAATTATCATCTGACAGCAAACTGTTTGGTATGTAATGCTGTTCTTTTGTGTCCCAAAGGAAGGAATCCCTACTGTATTGACAAGAACTATGGCGGCACACTCATTATCTTTGACAGGATGTTTGGTAATTATAAGTGACTTTTATTTCTTGCAGTTCTTTTATAATAGCTGTAGATCTTTTACTAAGATTTTCATCCTAAAATTCTGCTGTATATTACTGAAATAAATATTAAGTTTGCTGCATCACCAGTTTGTCTCTAGCAGCTTTACTTAGCTTTAGATTTGCTCTTTATATTTCTAGGATTGCTAGAAAAATATACGTACACTGACATAATACATTTCTTTTGTTACATGTATTTGATATGATACTATTGAATTATGTATAGGTACGTTTGCTAAGGAGGAAGAAAAGGTAGTCTATGGCCTGACACACCCACTCAACACATGGGACCCCATCTGGGTGCAGGTAAGAATATCACATACTAATAATTACATAATGTTGCACAAGAATTTTGCCTGTTACAGACAGTATCTTTTCTGACACAACATTTGAAAACTCATTGTTAAATACATGTTAAATACACTCAACCTTAAATGTGATGTTCTGCCAATTTGCATAGGCTCATGAGTAGTATATTCTACCAACATGACACATAAACTCTAACTTCTTTTGCATGGATGGGACATTAAGATGGAGGACCTGTGCTAGAGCAAAACCACATAAGCTTGTGGCTAGCCACCGCTTTTATTAAAACACGTAAGTGTAGGGGTAGTGGTCCTTCCCGGTATCAGTGGATCCTACTGTGCAAAACTATTAAGCCTTAAGTTATATACTTATTGTGTGCACAACAAACAAAAAAGACTAATAATGCATTATGTCTATGTGTGTGTGTTTCCCATGTCCAGGTCTGTCACTATACACACATCTGGAGGACATTCTGGGTGACTCCAGGCTTGGCTAACAAACTGTCTGTCCTGTGGAAGGGACCAGGCTGGGAGCCGGGGAAACCTCGGCTGGGGTGCATCGAAGACATTCCTAAGGTAAATTGGGGTCGTGTGGTGTATGTGGTGTAACCATAGAGACCCAAGAGGTCCTGGGTTCGAATCCTGCCCATATGCAAATACCTGTATGGCTGGTTAAGTTACAAAAATAGATTATCTTCATTCAGACTAAAAACACAATGACAAAACTCACAAGATTTTTCTTGGTTGTTGTTGCTGTGACTTTAGGTGAAGTACCCAGAGCCTAAGTACGACACTAAGGTGCCTGCCCTGTGGTCCGTCTACGTTGCTGTGCATTTTTTCCTGGCCTTGGTTTTGTACCAGGAACTATTTGCTGTGGTTAAGGTAGGTGGACAAACGTTGATGCAATAGAAACCTAAAGATTCTGTAGCAACACCCTGTGGTGTTGTGTTACATTATGTAGCAGAACAAAGTTGAAGAGCATGCTCACCATACATACGAATGTACTTGACTTTGAGTAAGAATAAACAGTGCAGTAGTTTGTTGGGCTAGACCAGGTGAAGGTAAACATTATTCAGTTACTTTGGAAATGTTACCTTTCTAATTTTCTAATTCCTGGTGCTGTTTCCAGGTCCTGACTACAGCTGCCATGCTGGGAAGGGTCATGTTTGTGGTCTGGACTCTGGTGTCAGTAGCTGCCATCATGGACAGGAAGTATGGATAACATTGTGACAGTATTAAATACTGATTTTACAGATCAGTTTCTGATTCATTCCTCAATTCAGCTGTATTACAGATACAGTGGCATTTAAATTGTAATTTACTGAAAGTGAATAAGCCATACTTTCCAAGCAGAAGAATGGATTTTGGCTTATTTTGGGCCTTTTTTAATGCTTTTTTATCAGGCTTTCTTTTTTGCACTGGTATCTTTTTTTTACGCCAACCCCCAAGAAATGATAAGAGTGCTAAAGAAAGCCTGATAAAAAAAAGCCTAAAAACATGCCAAAAATAAGACAAAACCCAAACCTCTGCTTGTAGAGTAAAGCAGTTATTCACTGTGTTCTTCCAGACCCAGTGCACCAGTAGTAGACTTCACGCGCTGCCTGATGTTTGTTCTTGTTGTCATGACGACCAGCCTGTCGGGATCGCCCGCCGTCATGCTCCCCTCCCCACTGCTGAATGCCATGGTAGCCTGGTACCTTCTCTCCGCTGCCATCTGGGGTGGCAACTATCTGGTTCCAGCCTTTAAGGCTAAAGCAGTTAAGGCGGACTAAGGTGTTTGTTTTTACACAAATCTCCAGGCAGGTTGTCTGGGGAAAATGATCTTAACCAACCAGCCAGACAGTATAGAATATCCAGTGGTTCTGTTGTATCCAGAACAGTGCTGATTCCAGAACCATGCTCAGGCACGATTTTGGATAGTCCACGCATATCCAGAACCGTACCTGGGGCAAATCTATGTTGTGAGTGAGTGAGTGAGTGAGTGAGAGTGACTTCATGGAAGCTCAAGAATCATACAAACCCTGTTTATGATTTTCAATGACCCTTAAAAGGCAAGATAAACTGCATCAATGCATTTTTGATATGATATTCTATGGTTACCCTTAAAACACTAGTATTTTAGATGTGCCATATCAATGCAATTGTGTATGTCATTAATGTATTCATACTACAACTTCCAAACATAGGATTCATAACTGATTTCTTATGTATAGATATTATGAATTTTGAAGAAAAAAACGAGACTCAGGCCAGTTGTAATGTGGTAAGTTGTAATCTTACCATAACTGTACACACAAATTCTGTTATATTATGCACACACAAAAGGCACCCAAAGATTTTAAAAGAATCCTGATACAAAAGATATAAAAGCCAGTACATTTCTTTAGTAACAACTCACAAATTATAATATCTGTTCTGAAAATTGAATAGTTAATAAGCTATGTACAGATTATAATAATTACAGTGACTATTTAAAAAAGAGTATATTTAACACCAATGTACATATATTTTTGAATTGCCTTATAGATTATATCTTATAGATATTAAATTATTTCAATTAACATTCTTATGCACTTGATATACTTGAAAAATATGACACAAACAAAAACATGAAACTGAATTATTCCACTGGAATATATAATATATATAGATGAAAGTTAAAAGCCTCAGCATTTCTCAATATGACTCACAAGTCTTTCTAATAATTCCACTATACACACCTGGTAATCATGCTTGAATAGATACAGTGTTCTGAGAGGTGAGAGTTCAAAGCCTGGGCATTCCCCAATCTGAATCACAGGTCTTTATATATATAGTTACGGCTTCAATAACACTGAGCCACAGGAAATTTACTCCAGACTAACATACATGTAGTTGAACCCGGTGGCGATATGTTGAATAACACAAGCTCAAACCACTAGGCGACCGAAACTTAATACGCAAATGAACTGACGTCATTTGCAAAATCTACTTTCATTTTCGTGATAAATTGGTTTGAGATTGTCTTTTCGAAAGAAAAAACGACTCATGTTTGGTTTTCCTGGATATTCATGGCATCCTAGTTATCACAAATGTTGAATTCTTAAACATAAGCTTAGCTTCATGGTAATTGTTTCGTGTTTTTCGTTAGTATATACATATACCTGGGTCTTTCCAGCATGACTAAGCGATGTTCAATAAACAGTCCACTAAAGGGTTGATATGTGGTTTTATAGTTACAACTATGGGTTTTTCGGAGTACATTGTGCAAGAGTAACGTGTGGGTACCAATGCTTTAAGGGAAAAGTTAACTTCATGGGCAAAATTCTGACCCCGTTGGGAAATTAGCGAAAAACGAATTAGTTGTTAAAACTGTGCGGTAAGGATGAAGCTAATGGACCCCATATTGACCCTCAAGCAAACGTGACTACTGGAAATCCCCACAAAGACTCACCACGCAACGGATAAAAACGGGAACAACCAAACCGTTTCCACAGAGTGCCCAAGTGCTTGTTCCTTCTTGGGTTGCCAAGCGTTCTCGGTACAGTGGACATGGCGTTGTCCAAACCCGAGTACAGTGTGGATGAGCTGAAGCCGAAAGCAGGTGGGAAACCTGTTAAGGGCTCGTCCATCCCGCTCATTCTGCCAAACGACATGAAGTACAACGCGGCCACCGGCGGAGTCGAGAAGGTACCCGACGCCCAACGGACAGGCCTGTACGTCGTTCCAGAGGCCTCGGATCTACTGGAGGGGATCGAGGAGCCCGTGAGCGTCCTGGCAATCTGCGGGCCCTGTCGGACTGGGAAAAGCTACATCCTTTCCAGGTAATGTTCCATTTTTACCTTCGCCAAGAAGGTTAACGTTATGTTTTCAATAGCGTTTGTGTGTGACGTGTGTGTATGTGTGTGGTTTAGCACGATAACTCAAGAAGCATTGGATGGATTGTCATGAAAGTTAGTAGGTGGGTAGGTCTTGATGAGACCTGGAAAGGATAAGATTTTGGGCCCCCTGGCAGCTTTCCTAGGTGATGCAGCAGAACTTTCGGTTTTGATATCTCATGATCTGGACATGCTAGGGTCATGAATTTAGATGGTAGGTAGCTCTTGTGCTGGGGAAGAAGTCACATGAATTTAGGCCCCCTGTCAGCTTTTTCTGGAACTGCAGGGCAGTTTGTTTTAAAATCTTCGAGGGAGGATACTCAAGAACAGGCTGACGGATTTTCTATAAATCTGCTGTATTCCATGAAAGGCCTATGGGACACTTCTGACATGATTGATAATGAGAGGAACATCTGAAAAGGTAGATTATGTAAATGAGACCTAATGTGCATAATTAAATCTCTGTTAAGATAAGGCTGTCATTACATGGAGTATATGATTAACTGATATAATCCAAGATGGAAATGAGGATCTTATTTTCATTATTAATGAGAGAAAAGTATAATTCTGTCGGTAGGAATGGTTAAAGGCATCTAATGCAGTTTTTAGGGCTTGGAAACCCGATTTTTCAAAGCCAACATTATAGTCAGTCATGTACATACTAAGTTGAAATCACACTATCCCAGTGTATATTGACCCTCGTGAAGCAAAAATCCCCAAATTCTGACGGAAAACGTTTACTGGAAGGGCACTGGGCTGATTTTTAGGGTGCCTCCCAGAAAATAAATGAATCATCTTGGGGCTTGTTTCTGTAGTTTCAAAATGTCCGAAATATGAAATACTGATTTAAATGTGCTAATGTGAATATCACATATGTGTCAATATCACAAATATTGCCTTATTCAGAATATTTCCAGTTTTGCTGACCTGAAATCGCATTGGATACCTTTAACATTATTTGGCGAAATTATGAACTGTATTTTGCAAGGAGTGCGTAATGCCTAACTGGCAACGCGCGTACCATAATTATGATGACTCCTTTGCTGTGTCTTGTGGTAACAGAATTACTAAGGGTAGCTATACATGCGTAGGTATATCGCGCATAGGATTCTTATGTTATAGTCTTACATTTTTCCACTTCTCATTTATTGGTTCGGCATGAACACGATAGGCGAACAGCCAGAGATCCCAACTAGGGATGGCTATTATTAAGGGCTAACCCAGTGAAATAATACAATTTATAGGCTACATACACAATGGATAGGATAATGAGTTACAAATTTACATTGGTATTTACATCTAGTCATACATTTTACATTTTTGCACAGATTTTTAATATGACGTCTTCCAAAGTAGAAATCCTAACATTTCCTAGTATTCAAAAATTTAACGAGGCAAGGTAGTCTCCATTGTTGGCGAAATTTCATGTTGAAAGTCCACCTTTTGCAATGTTGCACTATTGAAGGAAATAGCGCACACACGAACGCTTCCAAAAACCTTCTTGGCGAAATTATTTGCAGTCTGTCCACCGTGACACTGTGACAGTGGTCTTTGTTCTTGTGTTGAATCATCAAAAATTATTTTTGAATTATTTAGCAGCTATAATATTGCACTATTGTGTCTGGGCATCAGTTTGACTGTATGTCTGACATGTCGCATGTGTAAAGCCCCACCCTAGCTGAGGCGACCCACACACGAGACGGTTACATTGAAGCCACCATGGGAGATGGAATAAGACACCCCTTCAATGGAGGCCAGCTACATACCTTTAGGCCGATTTCTAGTATTTATTCAGCCTGAAAAGTAATCTGGTGGAGACTATAACTAGTCCGTCGGACGTTTTTACATTTTTAACCAAGATTGTCGTCGAATCAGACACCGCAAGGTTCTGGTAATTGACAGAAAAATGGGCACTGCCTAGGTTTCTTTCTTCACACGCGACAGGGAATAAAGGGTAGTCAGCGGCCCAGTGACAGCATTTGAAGATGATGCGTATCCAGCTCACGGTCTTGTGGTGAAAAAGGCTGACATTGACTCTTTCCCACGGTCGTTTGGTCCCAGTGAAAATCCTTCAGTCGATGGAAAGAAAAATGAGGAAATGGCGGTGTTATGTTTTGACATAACAATGGTGGCAAATGAATGGACTTTTATTTTCTACCACTAGAAAGTCCGGCACTATTTACAAGGTTACACTACGCAATTTTCTTGAATTTACTACAGTAATTTGGTGCGTCCAACCTGAGCTAAAAGATCAACTGACATGAAAGCTGCCATGAAAAGTTGATAGGGAACAACAAGTGAACCCAGCATCGCTATGACTTGACTCTGTTGACGTAAATAAAGCAAACAATTCGCGATCGGCTGGCAGGGTCATGGGTGGCAGCAACACTCCTTTGTTCTCCGAGTTTACTGTTTGCATAACACAAAGCTGCTGCCGAGGACGGTAGCCTGTGTTTACACCATCACAGGGGTTAATTTAGCGCGATTGACAAATGTAGTCAGGCTACGCACAATGGTACGGACAAACAAATCTTATCGGCAACGTCACAGCACGGGAATTTGTATAGCCTATAATTACCTGGGGGGGGGGGGAATTCCCATCAACAACTTGAATATCGTATTTTTCACGGTCCTTGATGCAAAAAGCAAGAAACGTTTGAACCCTATCTAGACTAGGCTTTTTTGGGAATGAGGGGAGGGAGGCTCATTCGCCCCCCCCCCCACAGGACTCGTGAAAGGTATGTCGTATGACCACCAAATTTTCTAATGACATGGTCAGCCTTTTTGGATTTTGGCCAATGACGCCATCAAATTAATATAAATTATACATAGGGTTAAATCCTGTGGCGTGATATGAAAACCTAAAACACGCAGCAGTCGAAGACATTTTTCTCTAGTTTGTGGAGTGCAGATCTTAAAATATGATATAATGGAGGTTTCTTTACTATTATTGTAACGGTTGGAAGGAAATCTTGCAATTGAATAAAGATGGCTTATGATGCCTGCTACATACATGTATCTCTTGAAATGCCTTTCACAGGATGCTGGGTACAGCTGATGCCTTTGCACTGGGCCATCGCATGGACCCCGAGACGTTTGGTATCTGGATGGGCACCAAGGTGCTGAGAGGGAAGGACTTCACTATCGTGCTGCTGGACACGGAAGGAATAGGTACGTGGGGCTGTTTAGGACAGTCCTGGGACGTTATACATGGTCCAGTAACAATGTCAGATTCTTTACAATAGATAGTCTCGAAAACACCATTTGTACTTCGGCTGAATTACAGCTAGACCAAAAAGTGCCATACTGCTCCGAAATAAGAATGATGTGCTGGCGGTTACACCGGCTATACAGAAACAGATCTCCCCATTCACCATTGTAGGTAGACTGTGTCAATTTCAAGTCTTTGTCAAGGTTTTTACGTACTCTATAGATATCATAATGTATAAAACAGATTATGTATTTATGTTTGGTTGTTTGGCTGACACCACATGTGCATTCAATCCTCAGACGCGGTCGGTGCCAGTGCCGGCCAGGACGCCTCTATCCTGGTGCTGACCATCCTGCTGTCCTCCCAACTCATCTACAACTCTCAAAATGTCCCGCGCAAGGGAGACCTGGAAAAGATGCAGTGAGTACATGAACTATACAGCACATGCTGATATTTTTTCTAAAGTGATACTCGTTGTTAAATGTTGTAAGTCATCTAACAGCGTCCGCCAAAACTTATAATTTTTCTTTTCTAAATATATCAGGTGCTTCATCAAGCTCGCTACCGGAATCACAGTGAAACAAGGATCACGTGACGTGTCAGGTTTCCGTGATTTCTTCCCAGACTTCCTGTGGCTGTTACGTGACGTAACTCTGAAGATGGAGAATGAGGACGGTAATGAAATGGATCCCACCGAGTACCTGACGAAAAAGGTTAGGCATAGGATTCGTCTTTTCCGATGATCAAATAAATGAAGATGGAAGATGACGTAAATCACAAAAGAATTGCCCGGGATGCTTTGCCTATAGTAACGTTAGCATGTAATGGAAATTTTAAGGTGTTTACCAATAACTGCTTTAATCGGTCGTATCTTATACTTACATGTAGGTCCTTAAACGCGATCCTGGAGCTTTTGAAGAGTCACAAAATGATAAAGTTGGGCGGGTCATCCTCACATTCTTCCCAACTGTGGAGTGCGCCAAATTGGTGCAGCCTTCGGGTGACGTTGAGGTCATGAGAAACATCGCTCAGCACACAGACAACCTGAACCCAGAGTTTAACGAAGGTGTAAACGCGCTCACGGAGAGGCTGTTGCAGAAGTCACGAGCAAAGAGAGGCTACAACAAAGGCTCGACTGTCAGTGGTGAGTATTAAAGAAATGAGAATATACGTTATTGTACATTTTTAATTCTGTGTTAAGTTTGTAAACAAAATGTTATTTACAATCGCACCTTTTACTTTTGATGCAATTTAATTTAAACTCAATAATCTTAGTTATAGAGTTGGCTGCTAGATTGATAAATCTTGCATGTAATTTCCTCCTAGGCCTGGCCCTCAGTATCATGACCAGACAGTATGTGGAAGCGGTCAATGACCCCAACGCCATCCCTGCCCTGGACAACACCTGGCAGAACACTGTAGAACTCATGACAAACAAGGCCATTGATGAGGCAGTCATGGAGTACAAAAAACAGATACAGGTGAGATCTCTTACATCTCCTCCCTGTTTCAGGAACATTTTCTGTCCATTTTCCAGCAACCTGTGGTATCAGTTACTAGTTGTCAAATGCACTAGAGAAAAGTCTAAGTACCTCTTTTTCTTAAGTGACTCATAGCAATTATAGACATGATACGCATGTATGATAACATTACAACTTGATTATACTGTTTACAGCATTATTTACATAGAACTTGGAATGTAGCTCTCTGTTACTAATTTTGTCATACGTCAAGTACTACCATAATCATTCCCTTGATGATTAATGTGTTAAGTTCTTTGATTGAAACCAATGTATTCCTAAGCAGAAAGACTATAGCACATGATTTTTAAAACTACAGGTCGATGTCACCATGATGCTCACGTCCCTCTGTATTCAACATGCCACTAATCATAAAGCATTCATAAGATGGCTGACGTTTAATAAGTGCCAATCTTATTTCAATCTGTAGGATCGGATTGCTAAAGCCCGGGCGACTGAGAATGGGGAAGTTCCATTGGAGGAAGATGGGGCATCCGAAGAAAATGAAGCTACAGAAAATGACCTGTAAGGAAATGTCTTACGATAATTTCAACTTCACATTTCTACAAACCTTGACCAAAGTTATCGTGCAAAATGCATATTGGGTAGGACTTGCTGAATCTGCACTTCAATAAATCGTATTCAAACATACCTTATACCAAGTTCATGAAAGGGCAACTTTTCGTCTCCTTATATGCAGGAACATCCCCAGACAGCCTACCCTCATGGACCTCCACCACGAGTCGTTCAAAGAAGTCACAGGCAGGCTTCTTGAGAAGGTCGGCCATTTTGGAATCAGCTCAGAGAGTCAGGGTACTGATGAGCAAAACTCTGTGGCGGAAAAAATGCAGAATCGCTTGGGTAAGCACCTTTGAAATTTTGAATAACTGAAACCTTAATTTATTCTATTGAGATGAATGAATACACATTTTAACTGCACCCAAAGGTCAGATCACAATGGATTTAAAAATATTTAATTACCTGCTGAAAACTAATATGTCAATAGAATACCAAGTCGGTTGAGGGCATTATATTTGGTTTCCTGAATTTTTACATTTTGAAAAAATAACTCTAAATGTGATCTGAAATTCTGTTACAATAAAAATATCACTTAAGGTCAAAGCACTACAGAGAAAGCGTACAACCATCCAAAATCGGTATGCTCAAATGCATATAATTTCTCTATTGTGTCATTCATTGTAGTTCAAAGAGAGGAGCGTACAGTGGATCATGTGGCAGCCGACGGAAGCATTCAGAAGAAGGAGGGGTTCGTTGTTACTGGCGGCGAGCTCTTCCAGTACATCCAGGAGAACAAAGAACTGTCCAGGGGCTTCTGCCAGAAGACATTCGAACTCTTGTTTGGCCCAATCAGGTAACTTACACCTTCAGTTGAGTGCTAAATGAAGACAAATTTAATATTTGAATATCTGTCACGACTTATAAAGAGTTGAGTTTTTGAGAGTTGAATATGAACTCAAATTGATTACAAGACTAGTCAAGTCAAGTTTATTGCGCAGCAGTTGCATTGGATACAATGTATGGCAAATACATGATACGTCTCAATGGTTTGCTAGGGTTAAGGGACAGTCGCCCCCTCCCGATTATGACTTCAAACAGCTGATGGAAGAGTTGGAGCATGCACACAAGAAGTACTACGAGCAGGCACGTGGTCCGGAGAAGTGGGTTGTCTTGCAGGAGATGACAAAGGACCTTAAGCAACTGGAAGCTAATTTTAATAATATCAAAGGATTTGAGAAGAAGGTAATGTTTTGCTTTGCATTGAACTGTTAAATGACATGGCAGATTCCAAAGCTATGAAATTATCAAGTTAATTATGCTTACCTTCCCAGAAGTCCTGTCCCTTCATCTCCAAACAAAAAGTCAGTTACCTGCACTAGATGTCACCTGTCACTGCCATTACGCCTGTCACCATTACGCCTGTCACCATTACGTAACTAGACTAAATATTGTAGCAGACACCCTGTGTTGTTGGAGTACATTATGTAGGGTGACAGAGCTAGAGTGGCTGCTCACCATATGTTATATATAAATGTGTTTGAGTAACATTATTAGAGCAGTAGTTTGTTGGGCTAACCCATAATGCATTTGCTTTGCAAATGTTACCTTTCTAGTGGTGTATGTAGTCATTCTACATGTCTGAATTATAGGTTCAGACTGCTAGATATATATTATGCTATTCAAACTTGTAACGAACAAGAAAAACTTAATATGTTACGAAACGCAGTAATCAAAATTATATTATATATTTACTCTAGGTACTGGAGGAACAACAGAAGGCACAGGAGGCAGAGATCAAGGCCAGGGAACAGGAAAGGGAGGCGCAGCAGCTGAACAAACAGAGAGATGACATGTTGAAGGCCCAGCAGGAAACTTTGGAGAAAGTACAGCAGCAGCACAAGGAGCACATGGACAAGGTACTTGAAATGAAAATTCAGTTATCATTCATCAGCAATGATGTTTTGGTAGGATCGGTGATTAAGAGCCATTATCATATAGCCAGAAGGCGACGACCAATCAGAAGACTCAATTTGCCATTGGTTATCAGGCCGTAACCTCAAAAGTGGTCGGTTATTAGAATAACCGACCACTTTTTGGACCGTACTATTTTACAGGGGACAGGGCACTAACGGTAGTGTTAAAACTTACCGTAAAACGTATTGTTTAACAGATAAATGTCACGTGGTAACCACAGATGATTGCCTAGATGGTCTGTTTTTCTTTCCATGCCATCTTGTTTCACGTTATATAGGATTTTTGTCAAATACGTGTCAGTTGGATAGGCTATATGATAATTACCTTAATGCTCCGCCTTTTCCTCGGTGTATGAGATAATCCCTAGGCCCTGGTCACGTGCGACAACCGCTCCGCTCACTTGGTGGTTTATTCGGTGGTTATCGCATCTGACCAGGGATTATATCTTACCATATACACCTCGGGGCGGGGTATTAACTCTTTACTATTACCCTACTTCTTCTCTAATATGACTTCCACTGTATTAATTTTAGTTCGAAAAACAAGAGCTTGAGCGACGGGAAAAGGAGGAAAAGAAGATACAAGAACTTACAAATGCACTTATGCATGAACAGGCGCAGATGGCAAAGGTAAGAAATTAGTAATAGGTATATTCAAGGACATTAATTATACACACATATACACACATATAATGTCCTTGGTATATTTAATTTAAGAAAGTAAGGATTTATCTATTTCACACATGTTTATCCCCTTTAAGAAACGTTTGAGACGGCAATGAAATTGACAGACCACAGGCAAGTCAACATGTTGTTTTTTTCATAATATGATCATTATTACAGCAATTATGTTCAAATTAAAATTGCAGCAAAAGCCAGATTGACATATTTTTTTACTATGGACTCGTTGACATATAACACAACATTCGTCTCTGACCAGTTTAGAACAATTGCGTCATAGTGCTTGAAATTGCTTTTGTTGACTTTCTTCACAGGAGCGTAATGAGAGAGAAAAGGAGAAGGCGATGGAAATGATGAAGAGTATGCAACAGGAACAGGCAGCCAATAACAGGCAGATGATGGAATTAATGGGCCGAATCCTCGAGAAAACAGCAGCTCCGCCGCGTAAGTGACATTTTGATGCTCCAATAAGATAACTTCTGCAGGAAAACTAGAAATACAAATACCTACTTGTGTAATGTTCCAATCATACAATTAAAATTGTCAAAATATTAAACAAATCAGTCTAATACAATATTTGTGTTCTGTTAACAGAGTCAACTGCGTTACACTATAGGCGACTAATGGTATTTGTTTCTTCCTTGCCGCTGCAGCTTCTGGCGGTAGGTGCACCATCTCGTAAAGGTGATCACGTTGCTGTTGTCAACAACACACATCCCAACCTACACTTCTCAGCTATATCCACTGTCAACCTGTAGAGAAGAAGTGCACGTTTTGTGATTCCGCGCACGTTATTCACATTTACAACACTACAGTACATGTTACTGCAACCAGTAGTAATGCAATTTGATGTGAAAGTTCCTGACCGTAGCGATTCTAAATCTAAAACGAGCAAATTTTGAAATATCAGATTTGATTTGATTTATTATGCTGTATAAAACTGTCAAAATAAGCAGCATTTTTATAGGGTGCTAGCCCTTATAACTGGATTATCATAATTGTGATTTATCAGGACTCGTATATTCTTCGGCTCATTAGTACGTTTGCATCAACTTTTGTAGAACACCTTCTTTCCAGCGGTGTTTGATATGTTTTAACGTGTGCCTAGAATTTGGAGTGTACCTGATGGTGTGTTATGTAGTATGTATATGTGTATGTTTTTTATGTCGTATGTAGATATCCGATTTCATCTGTGTATGAGCGCTTATATGGAGAAGTCTAGGACAGTTAAGATGCTATTCATATGTGGATAAAGGAGTTGTATATGCGTCTTCAATGAACTCCAAAAGTTTGACAAAAAGTATTTCATGAATTGAACTATTAACGAAGAGACAATGATTAAAAAAGTACACTCTAAACATGTCAATATATTCTCTAGAAGTACCAAAAGCAACATTTTGCACCAAATGTGCCTATCTATGATTGGAAACTACAAAAATTCAACAAGTTAAAGCACCTTTTCTTAAAGAATAAAAAAAATTAATGATCTAGGTCAAATATGTTCATTCTTTGATACGTCAATAATCCTTACACAATCAAATATCCACATTGCATTCTTACGTATTACGTAGAAGGCAACAAAAATCAAGGAATTCCATTAGATTGAACGCTAAACGCAATCTAGACATGTACGCCAATCTGCTATTGATAGTAACAACTATAACCAAGGACATCTTAATTAGTAGAAAGCTGCCCCACTATAGATGCGGGGGTTTGCTTTTCGTGTGTTTGCTTGTGTGTTCGTAGTTATCAAATACAGTAAATACACAGGACGTGAGAACCGTAGACTGGTAGGAAGGTAAAATTGGAGGTCAAAATGGTCTCCCCACAGGCTGATAGGAAGTGAATAGTACCAAGGATACATCCTTGTATGTCTTCAGTTTCCTGCCATATTCAGGTCTACTAGTATCTGTTGCGGCACGAAAATATATATTCACAACAACTGTGAGGTTCCCAATGATGAATAAAACAAAAATTACAACAACTCTCGAATGTTTCACGGAGATGTGAAATCTGAGATTGATCTTGCTGTGCACTTTGTTTCTAAAATAAACCTTGACTGGCGTGGATCATTATGTGTACATATGTTGTTGTTGTGTTCTCTTTATATAGTATTGTTACCAGAAGTTTATACCCGAGTGTTTGCAGTCAGCGGGCCTCAGCCAGTTGAAATGAAGCTATTAGTTAGTCTGTCTATCCTTGTTATTCAATCGTATGAATGTAAGAGGTGGACGTTAATGACATGTGTAAAGAAAGATCCGGGTACCGAATTGCAACGTTGCTTCCCAATGAAGCTTTGCCTTTCAATAACCCTTTTGAACTTTACATGAACTCGCCGGGTCCATTGTCCCATTGTCCAGGCACCCGTTACGCACACAAGGTGGATATTTATTGGCCAGTAACATAGATATAACTAGGCAACCCATGATAGAGGCGTCTCCAACGTCTGTTGCTACCATATTCTGCCAAACACTGGAGGCGACCACAGATGTTCATGGCCTCAATTAATGTCCCCTTTTCAGAAAAGTTGAGTTAAGGATCATCTGCAACAATATATATTGTGAATTTCTAAGATTCCTTTCGCACATCGATTTTATCGACGACCTGAACGGATCACAGCTACATGCGTTATGAATCAGACAGGAGAGTAACCCGCATTTAAATTTTGCCTCAGTCCTATTAGTAATCGTGACCTTGTGACCAAGGAGGTTTCAATTCCATGTTGTGAACGCCAAAGCTGTAAGTTGAAAGAGTTAAACAAAATGGCGGACGCTGCACTGAAAATGAAAGTACGAGAAGGAGTTGTTTCTTTCTTTTCACATCCTGGATAAATGTGGAAGCAAAAGAGGTAGCCATTAGACTTATACTGCGATTTGATTTCACTCGAATATTTGTGTATCTTGGTAGAGGGATCAGATATTTTGTGTCATGATGATTTTTGTAGGGGGTTTTTGGCAGTGGGCGTTTTAGTACCATGATGTCATTTTAAGGGCCAACATGTGGTTTTATAGTTTCAACTATGGACGCTTGAATGCAAAAGTAAAGAGCAATGTGTGTTTGAGGTGACACGTTGTTTAAGAAAACTCTGAGTCGTGTTCATGATCCTTACCGATTGTTGTGAAATCACGAAAACTATTTATCCAACAGGGCAACTACCATAAAACCCCATGGTGACCTCACGAGACTATTGGAAACCCCCAATTGCAACCAAGTCTTTCATACGGCTAAAACGGGAAGTACCAGACAGGTGAAAACAGGTGCTCGGGGAATAGAGGGCTTAGCTCTCAATGGCAGTTACCAGAGCAAAGATTTTCAACTAGGTTTGATTGCTAGGTACTCCTAGTAAATATGCCCGGGGCACATTCCAAGTTCGGGTTCAGGGTGGAGGAGCTGCAGCCTAAAGCAGGTGGGAAACCTGTTAAGGGCTCGTCCATCCCGCTCATTCTGCCGAACGACATGAAGTACAACGCGGCCACCGGCGGAGTCGAGAAGGTTCGTGGCAAACGGACTGGCTTGTACGTCGTTCCCGAGGCCCTGGATCTACTAGAGGGAATCGAGGAGCCCGTGAGCGTGCCGGCAATCTGCGGGCCCGCTCGGACTGGGAAAAGCTACATCCTCTCCAGGTAGACGTCACTTTACATGTAATATCTATTAACTTCATTTGCACACATACTATGTGTCAACAATTAGGGTGCTTTTGCCATGTCATCATGAAAACAGAAACAATGGCGTAACTGACAGTTTTTGCAGAATCTATCATGCATTTCCATGCACAGTCACCTTTTACTGTAGCCAGTTGATCCCAAGCTTATCGGTGTACAACTTTAAGCAAATAAATAAATGGAAATGTTGTACTGAGTCTGTCGCTGTACAGTCTGACATTGCATAAGATTGTGCCATTTGTAATCTACCTCCTTGTCCGCTAATTTCGACCGCGAGATCGTCGTATGATCAATACCCAGGGCACTCGATAAAAACTGCCTAAAAACAAGATGGTGGAATTGACCGTGAATTGTAGACAAGGCACAACAAAGCGTTGTCAGGCTAGTACTTGTTGACGTAAGCGGAGCAAACCACTTGGTAAGAGGGGCGTAAGAAATTGATACATTTTCGTCAGAGGTGTCCTGTTCCTTTATAGGCTTTAGGTCCTCTTTTTTACATGGTGTAATTGAGTTCTTGAATAATTTATGATTTGATAGTTTCCAGCAGCATTTTGTTTCGCTAACGCTAGTAAAGTTATATTGATAGCTAGGAGTACATTTTGTGATACTAGTACATAAAGCAAAGACATATTCATGTCTTCAGCTAGTACCTATTTCAGTGGCATATCATATTTTACAGGGTAAGGTTAAGTCACTACCTGAATGTACGGGCAAGTGCAGGTATTTCTGCACAGGTCCAGGTACTGGCTACCTATGGAGCGTTTGTGGATTCCTTTTGCTTGCTGCACTGATTGCTTTTGAAATGCTTTTTACATCCATTGTTGCTAGTGAATATTCGAGTAGTTACAGCTCCTATTTCATCTGCAATATTCACAAATACAGTTTTGCAGTTGAATAGAGATTGCAGTTTTGCAGTTGAATAGAGAGCTTATACAGCCTGGAATGCGTTGCAGGATGCTGGGTACAGCTGATGCCTTTGCACTGGGCCATCGCACGGACCCCGAGACGTTTGGTATCTGGATGGGCACCAAGGTGCTGCGGGGGAAGGACTTCACTATCGTGCTGCTGGACACAGAAGGAATAGGTACGACAGGCCTGTGATGTTAAATACGCTCCAGTAGCAATATAAGATTCTTTATGATAGCTAGTCTTGAAAACACCATGTCTTGTTCGGCTGATTCAAAGTGTTATTCATTATATAATATTTCTCCAAAACAAACAAAATTTCCCCATTCACCATAATAGATTGTAGGTTGGCTGTGCTAGTTTCGAGTCTCCGCTAAGCTTTGCCCTAGGTTGTTATTTACTCTATAGGTATTATAACGCATAGAAGAGATTATATGCTTTGTGTTTGACAATACCACATCAAACAAATCATGTCAATCCTCAGACGCGGTCGGTGCCAGTGCTAGCCAGGACGCCTCTATCCTGGTGCTGACCATCCTGCTGTCCTCCCAACTCATCTACAACTCTCAAAATGTGCCGCGCAAGGGAGATCTGGAGAAGATGCAGTGAGTAGATGAACTAAACAGCACATGCTATTTCCTCTATACAACTGTTTCAATAATGAGTGTAGAAGAATAATCCTTCTTGCTGTTAAATCACATTTTGCCTCTAGTTATACGTCTTATTCTCTGACTACGCTCTATGACTTCTTAAAATTACTAAAGGCTGAATGTGCTTTATTCAACATATCTTTAGGTCCTTCATTAACCTGGCTAAAGGTATCACGGTGAATCAGGGAAAGAGGACAGACACGTCAGAAGTGTCAGCTCTCCGTAAGTTTTTCCCAGACTTCCTGTGGCTGTTGCGGGACGTAACTCTGAAGATGGAGGATGATCACGGCAACGAAATACACCCCACCGAGTACTTGAAGACTAAGGTAAGTATAGAATATGTGGTGCACCGCCAATGTCACAAAAGATATTCTTATGAAAGCACAATGATAAGAGAGGTTTACCATAAAGGCACTAGTATACGTATATGATAGAGATTCCAAAGTTATTGGTTGGCTAATTCTTCTTAGCTATATTGTTCAATACTCAGCGGTTAATAATCTTTTTTTTTCATTTAGGTCCTTGGAATTCAGCACGAAAAAGGGTCAACCAGCGACAAAGTAAGACAGGCCATCCTTAACTTCTTCCCATCTGTTGAATGCGCAACCTTGGAGAGACCTTCTGGGGATGTGGATATCATGAGCAGCATAGCTCATAACACGGACAACCTGAACCCAGGGTTTAACAAGGGTGTAGAGAACCTCATCCAGATGCTGATACAAAAGGCACGTCCAAAGAGAGGCTGCCACGAGGGCTCAACTGTCAATGGTAAGTAGACCTGGAGCATCAATGTAACCGCACTCACTATTATTTCTTCGTGTACTTTCTGTACTGCTGTATATATGTCTCCATAGTAATATTTAGAATTGATAAAAGAATTAATTTTTTACTGACAGTGACTCTATGTATTAGCTTGATGAAGCCTGGCAAGCATTTTGACACTTAAACGTATCTATTATGCGTACACCCCACCCCAGGTGAGGCCCTCAGTATCATGACCAAACAGTACGTGGAAGCGGTCAATAACCCCAACGCCATCCCTGCCCTGGACAACACCTGGCAGCACACGGTAGAACTCATGACAAACAAGGCCATTGAGGAAGCGGTTAAGGAGTACAAAAAACGGATGCAGGTGAGATCTCTTACATCTCCTCCCTGTTTCATATCACGAACATTTTCTGTCCATTTTCCAGCAACCTGTGATTTCATTTACCAGTTATCAAGTGCACTAGAGCAAAAGTCTAAGTACTTATTTTTCTTAAGTGGCTCATACCAATTATAGACATGATACACATGTATGATAACATTACAACATGATTATATTATTTACAGCATTATTCAAACAGAACTTGGAATGTCTCTTTCTGTTGCTAATTTTGCCATGCGTCTACCATAATCATTCCCTTGATGATTAATGTGTTAAGTTCTTTTATTGAACCCAATGTATTCCTAAGCAGAAAGACTATAGCACATGATTTTTAAAACTACAGGTCGATGTCACCATGATACTCAGGTCCCTCCGAATTCCACAGGCCATTAGTCATAAGGCATTTGTAAGATGGCTGACTTTTAGTAAGTGCCTTTTTTGTAAGTGACTCTTATTTCAATCTGTAGGATCGGATTGCTAAAGCCCGGGCGACTGAGAATGGGGAAGTTCCATTGGAGGAAGATGGTGCATCCGAGGAAAATGAAGCTACAGAAAATGACCTGTAAGGAAATGTCTTACGATAATTTCAACTTCACATTTCTACAAACCTTGACCAAAGTTATCGTGCAAAATGCATATTGAGTAAGACTGGCTGCATCTTTTTCAATCGTATTCAAACACACCTTATATCAAGTTTATGAAAACGGCAACTTTTTGTCTCCTTCTGTGCCGGAACATCCCCAGACAGCCTACCCTCATGGACCTCCACCACGAGTCGTTCAAAGAAGTCACAGGCAGGCTTCTTGAGAAGGTCGGCCATTTTGGAATCAGCTCAGAGAGTCAGGGTACTGATGAGCAAAACTCTGTGGCGGAAAAAATGCAGAATCGCTTGGGTAAGCACCTTTGAAATTTTGAATAACTGAAACCTTAATTTATTCTATTGAGATGAATGAATACACATTTTAACTGCACCCAAAGGTCAGATCACAATGGATTTAAAAATATTTAATTACCTGCTGAAAACTAATATGTCAATAGAATACCAATTAGGTTTAGGGTAGTCTATTAAGTTTACTAATCTTTACATTTTGAAAAAAAACTCTAAATGTGATCTGAAATTCTGTTACATTAAAAAATGACCTTCACAATAAACAGTTCGAGAAGGTCAAAAGCACGCTTCTAAAGCAGGTCGGCCATCTCAGTCCAGGGGTCCGTGAGAACAGGACCGTTGTGGACACGTTGCATAATCGCTTGGGTAAGCATCTTTGAAACTTATTCACCGCATCTCTCTGGGAGGAAAAAGAAGTAAAAAACATTATGTGATCTGCCTGACAGTGGCAGTGACATAGCTCAGTAATGGGTATAGGTATACCTGACCACATTTCCTTATTTATCGCAGTTCAAAGAGAGAAGGGAACAGTTACTGGTGGAGAGCTCTTCCGCATCATGCAGCAGAACAAAGAACACTCCAAGGACTTCTGCAAGAAGCTTTCTGAACAGTTGTTAGACCCGATAAGGTACTTCGAACTTTCTCTTGAGTCTGTGCTAAGTCAGAAGGCCCTTGAATCCTTTGACATCATGACTTCATCCTGTTGTTGCTAAAGACAATTTCTATAAGAAATTATGATTTAGTTCATGGGATTTGCGATCTGCTTTCTTTGTAGTTGATTCCAGATAATATCATTTATGTGCATCAATTTTTTATATGCTAGGAAACGTGTGGAGTCACCTCCCACATACGATGAGTATGACTCCAGCCAGTTGAGAATTGAACTCTGCCATGCACGCCAGCGGTACGAGAAGCGGGCACGTGGTCCGGAGAAGGGTGCCGTTCTGCAGGAGATGACAAAAAACTGTGAGCAGCTTGAGGCTGGCTTTAAGAGGCTTGAGGAACATCACAAGAAGGTGATTCACAAATGTCAAATAATGTTTAAGTTGTGTAACACCCTGGCGGCCCCCATGATGGATAAAGCGGATTGGAGGGAGGGGGTCTGGGACCAGGAACCCACTACCTGATGATAACAAGAATGTCTAACTCTTTATTATTTTATTGTTTACACCCCATTCGTTCCAACGTAATACCTACACCTTCACAAGCAGAGATTTCAGATTTCTTCCGTTTAATTTTTTAACGCCACCCGAAGACTCTAAGAAAACATTCCTGTTTGTTCTGACTGGGCACTTCATCATTGTCACTGCTCCAGCTGATGCGGGAAAAGCAGAAGAGGAGACAGGCAGAGCTCCGAGCTGGGGAGAGGGAGAGTCAACTCCAGCAGCTGCGCAGCCAGGCACAGGACATGCCGCAAGCCCACCTGGAAATTCTGCAGAAAATGGAGGAGGAACACAGAAAGATGATGGAGGAGGTACATGCATTTTTATCTATTAGTAGAAATGTGTACTTTGTAGAAATGTGCTCTTTGATAGGACACTGATAACGTGTTGATTGTTTTTGCAGATAGAATTTTCAGAATTAACTAGAAGTCGTGTTAGATCCATCACTATTTATCATTGCTGATATGACTGAACTTCTTTCCTGATACACCCGCAGGCAGCACAAGGAGCAGCGGAAGAACGGGAAAAGAAGTACCAAAAGCTACTGGAATCACTGATGGAAGAACAGATGAAAATGATAGCGGTAAGCGATATCAGTAATGGCATAACAAAATTACGTACACAGCATTGGATGCTTAGATGATATCACATGTTCTGGAAACGTGATGACATTATGGCATGGCAAACTTGAAAGTAGCCCGTACAAGACAATATGCAACTGCCAAGCGAACTAATTGTCAATGAGTACGTTATGTCACACAAGATGCAAAATGCTTATTGAAAGCACCAAGCTTTTTTCCTTAAAGTATCGCATATGGAGGTATTAAAAAGATACTGCATTGCCATGATACACCCATGCATTGATAGCTTTTAACTCCAAGACTATTATTCCTCAACACAGCCTTGGCTTTCTTACATATTGTTGTGGTTAGAATAACTTGTTCGCTTCTTGTTCTAACTGGTTTCATGGTCTTCAAACAAATTTCCTTTGCAGGAAGAGTTTGAATCAGCTATGAATCTGGAGCTGCAGAGAATGAAACAGCAGATTGACTCAATCGTCGCTAAGAAATTGATGGAATGTCTGAGTGAGGCCGTCGATGATTTACCATCTCCTCGAGCTCGTAAGTAGTCATCTTCTACGCCCAACTTATCCAAAGAACTTTTTCAGTGCATGTACAATGTATGTATATACAATGTATGTATATATGTATGTCTTACATTGACAGACCTCACGGTCCCATACTACATGCTTATAAACAAATACATGATCACTTTTATTGTACATTTACTAGACATAGCGTATTGCTAATTGTAGAAACAATAGATAGTTTGCACTACTGATGATACTACAACACGACACGTTCTGTCAATCTCGTGGATTATCTGCAGTAACTGAAGGTGCATGTATTTATTTTATTCATTTATTCATTTATTTCGGCTTACAGAGAAGCCAGGGTGTCCCAATTACTCAAAGACTATATTACTAAGGGACACCCTGGGGGAAAAGATGAAAATCGTTAAACATGCATGAGAAAACATATTACAAATTACATACTTAGTGAGATATACAGTTAACAGCTATATACGATAGTACAATGATTTGTATTTGTACTTTTCTTGCAGCTGCGGATGACGGATGCATCATCTCATAAAGACGACCATGTTCCTGCTGCCACCTGTTGGATATTTCATCTGCTGGGAACACGTCAATTCTTAAGAATAGGCTAGTGTAGATTGCTTGCAATGAATGTAACCAAAAGAAGCAAATTTCATTACCTTACATTATTCATTATTTTTAAGTTCTCCAGCCCATCTGTTAGTCGGTATCAGAGTGTGTTTATTTGTTGCACCCCAACGCTTGTGGTTACTTTATTTCCAGTCATGTAATGTTTGAGCTAAATCTATTTGAAGTAGCCATGTACAGGGCTGGTTCAACTAGTTTACCAAATGTAGTAGACTAAAGTGGTGGTGAATAATTTCTGAGACATATATTATACATATGAAATGAGTAGAAGGTTTGGGCCATCTTTTATTATATTTCAGTCCATACCATGGTATGGATGAAATATATTGTGTTCTCTGATGTTTCTTCTTCTCCTCCTCCTCCTCCTGCCACACAGTCAAAGGGATTCAACTCAGCCATCATTCAGCCAAATGACTTGAAATTTGGCATGGAGGCAGAGTGGGCCAATACCCCCAGGCGTTTTTTTTTTTCATTTTTTTTATACATGCCTTTGAAAAATTTTTATGAAGGTTTTTTGGGTCATTTTTCGCCAAAAAATTGATTTTTGGATCAGGGGCCCTGGTTTTACAACCAAATGATCTGAAATTCGGTATAAGGGTACCTTGAACATGTGTCTACAGAACAACAGTCACATATTAAATTTGCCATACACCACTTCCAAATGACTCATTTGGGGGACTTTAATGGCTGTTTTCAGCAAAAAAAAGGACCAAAAGTGCTATACCCGTTCCATGTTCTATCTAAAGAATGGCACGTTCCATCTGCCGTTGGCCATGGAACACGTGTTCTATGCGGGTTACATGAGGTCACATTTTGCACGTAAGTCGTGCGTAATGACCCACACATTCAATTTTATGTGCCTAAGACCTTCAAAATGTATCAAATCTCATCATTGTTAGTATTTGCATACCTGTAAGAAGATTAGTAAAGCTTTCGAGATTCAATGTACTTGTTCTTGCATCTTTGTTCTCAATTACATAGCTACTATATAATTCATTTATTTGAGAATCTTTGCCAGTTTTACACTGGGGTAAGTTTGGAATAGTCCACTTTTGCGTGGGAGGGAGATGGACTGAAATATGCTGTATTTGCTCCCAAGCAAATGTCGGCCTCTCTAGTTGACCAAAGTTTTCTTAGTACTACAGCCATTACAAAGCCTAAAACGATACTGAATCATCATTTGGATTTGATCGTGATATCATCTGCAGATCGTGTTAAGTAGTATGTTGGGTTCTTGGATATTCATAACTTCTCATTTAACGGTCATTGGGAGTGAAAAGACGACAGAAAATGTCGGTGTTTTTGTTTACTCTAAAAGTAGGTTACATCTTTAGTAACGTTAATCAACGTATGTCAACGTTTTGCTCTAATGGCAATTACATTATATATCAAAACTTATTTCTTGATGCTTAATTAAGAGCTTTGATCGGATATTTTAATGCAATGTTTCTTTGTGCAACACGATGCAATGCAACCACTGTGTGCACTGTTTCTTGTTTTATTTATCTAAACATTTTGATTGATTACTAGATATATCTTATCATCTTATAATGAGGTATAATTTTCATAATTCCTGTATGAATATTACTATGACTAAAAAACATTTGAAAACAAATGCATAATGTTTACCTTCACATGGTTTAGCCCGACAACTAACTGCACTTCTTATTCTTACTCAAAGTCGTATTTTCCTATTTAAGGATGACATCCTGTCTATAGTTTTCAAATGCAGTGTCGAAAAAAGATATTGTCAGCAAGGGGAAAAATGCTGATGCAACGTTGACCAAACATCCAATGAAGCCCGGGTTCCGCGCAGGCGCAGTAAGTTGTGCCGACGTGTTCGTTGATGATTAATTACCAAGTAGACCTTTGCAGGTTGTTTGTCTGGAAAGGCTTGCAAAATGGCCGATAATTTCTAATGATCACTAACCTCCACTTTGTGTCCTGTGTAAAATGTTTACAACATGCGGTGAAACATTCTGCCATGTGAATGAAATTAAATAATATGGTGAATATGAAAAACAAAACTTTTCGTTACAACCAAGCAAGGCGAAGAAAAAATCAGGATCAATCATTTTTAATTGGGACTTTCCACCT